AATATGTTATTATTATTCACTAAAAGTGCAAGGGAGAAGAAATAAACAAAATTTTATGTTAAATATCGAATTTTTTGCAAACTGGACCAGAACGAAGTATTTCGAGGTTTTCTCCACGAAGGAAAGGGCTAGAATTTTTTCAAAGGTGATATTTGGGATCACCTCTTCGAGGGCTATCGACTGATGTATATTTCAAACAGATATATCATCTGCTGAAACTTTGAATTACCCGCACCTTATGTGTAATGCAAAGACTAGACGATCAGATCAGGTTTGATCTGCTCTGTATGGAGCTCAGCTACAAATATTCAACTTTGTTTGACGCTATATTTTGTGTTGGATTCTATGGTATTTATAGAGCAAGTGATGCTATACAGAAGTGGAAGAAGTATGAAAATTCATCTAACTTTGAAAATTAAAATGAGATTTGTGATTTTGGCACACAAAAGTTATGATTTTTTTTCTAAAAACGTGCCTCATCTTTTATCTGGCGTACTGTGCAAAAAAGCGCATTATAAACTCTTTCATAAGTGGGTTTGTATATAAACTTTTAATACTTCTACACCACAGTGGGCAATTTTCGCTAGAGCAGGCGGACATGTGTTATTAATTCAATAATAACTTTTGGTACAAAAGAGCTAGAGAGCTCTGGTTTTCGTCATTCGAAAAAGGAGACTTGAAGGCCTGTTTTCATAACTAGCATTGTTTTCAGAAGAGTTTTTTGAAACAGGTTTTCTAGGAGATCTTTGGAAAACTAGGCTGTCTGTAAAAATTTTCCAATAGGATTGTATTGCTTTTTTTTCATGGACTGATAGCCCGGGGTGTTCTCCTCAAAATGGGAGTAAAGTGAGACCTTGATTTTCCGCGGTTCGGGCGTTGTATCGGACGGATGGAATATGAGTAATCGACCACGCTGAGTCTTCTGGCAATATTTGTTTTTAGAAAAGTTCTAAAAATCTACCGAAAAGCGAGTTTTACGAAAATTTGCGCTTTCAGGCTGTATACACCTAATATTAAAAAGTTCACTGTTCACTCAATAAACATTAGAACTAGTTCAAAATTTCAGAATGTAAAGTATCTAAGTTATTCTACGTCCTGCTTATAAGAGATCTCAAAAGAAATTTTATAAAACCCTATGGCTTTCCAAAAGGTTTTCTGTAAAACCTAATAATTAAATATGCTTTTTCTGATTTTTCGATCGTATAATCACGTGTAGCGAAGGAAATCAACCATATTCTGAAATTTTGAACTCGTTCTGATGTTTATTGAGTGAATAGTAAATTTTTTAATGTTCAATGAAAACAGCTTGAAAACGCAAATTTTCGTAAAACTCGCTTTTCGATAGATTTTTAGAACTTTCCTAAAAATAAATATTGCCACAAGGCTCAGCACGATCGATTACCTATCCCAAGCACGAAAAAAAATCATGAAGCGGGCGCTGCATCTAGATTAAAAGGTACATTTATCTAGCTTCAGCTAGCTGCACAGAAATACATGAAAATTTTATCTAGCTTCAGCTAGATTGAATCTAGTTNCACAATTTCAACCAGCATGCAGCTAGATAAATGTACCTTTTAATCTAGTTAATCTAGCTGTAAGTGGGCGCTGCAGCTACTTCTGCAGCTAGATTTGCTCGCTTACTTAGTTTTGCTTGGGATAGTCCGTCAGTTTTCAAGGCTACCAATAGCCATCCTCGAACTCAAAAACCTGTACCTCATTCTGGAGAAAGAGTTGCATGCACCACAGATACAGGGTATGTCGCAGAACATTTTAGTATAATTTTGAGTCAGATTAGACTTTAGGAAAAATACAGGAACCTAAATACATTCGTAGTGCCTTTTCAGCAACAGAGGATTGGTTGGGAAAATTTTTTTTTTTCAAAGCTCATAACAATAAATCAAACAAAATTTGGTCTTGCTCAATAAATGAAAGCATGTAGGTTCAGAATATGTACAGTTAAAAATTTTAATTAAGCTTTAAGTATGCTTAATCCAATAAGTGTGCTTATCCGAAGTGTGTTTAGTAGTAGTAGTATAATGCTTTTATTTAAATCGCAGACTCTAAGTTATAGTCCTCCCAATTCAGTATCATGGACGAACTTCGTCCCTGTGACAAAAAAAAGAAAACCATATAGACTTTTCTTTTTACAATCAAAATAATTTAATTTTTACTAAAGGAAGATAGGAGATCACAATAGCTGAGTCAAAAACAAATAACATAATCAAACAAGGAAGGTTTATGGTCGCAAAATAGATTAGCGATATTTTTACTCGTTCTACCTTTGTTTACAATTGCTCTTTTATCTTTTAACAATAAGAGATTATGATAGTATTCATACATATACAGCAAATATATTTTATGTTAGAGAAAATCACATATCACAGATGGATTTATTTGAAGAATAGTTGGAATGAGTTTAGACTAGTGAATTTGAGTGAGCTCATCCATCGATTTGTAATTAGGGAAATTCGATATTTCGACATTTGTTACATCATACCAATGATGAACTATTCTAAACATCTGTCTGTTTAGGGCTTCTAAGTTGTTTTATTTTGTTTTGGATAAAATCGGATAAATGTTTAGGAGAGATTGGTAGTACGACCTTATGTAAGCATTATACAATCGATAGGCAACGGCTTCACTCAGCATTCGACTGGATGAGAGACATTTAAAAACAGAAGAATTTTTTCGAATTTTGGACTCTATATAGTCAAGGTGTGAAGTAAACGAGAGTACAATCAAAAACAGTACCAAGATTTTTAACTTTAGAACAATGTGAGATAGTATGTCCGTCACAAATAATAACAGGAGCAACTTGACGATGAAATAGAGTCCAGAAAGTCTTTTGGAAGTTGATAGGTTGCTTCCAAGTCGTAGAGTAGGAAATTAACGAAGAAACAACACCTTTAATTTGTTCAACAAGATTAAATATAAGAAGTCTAGACGACCAAGTAGCAGAAGGTGAAACAAAAACAGACAAATCGTTCGCAAACAAATGTTTCCAATGTAACAGAGAGATACAACTTAACAGATTATGGTGATACACAATAAAAATATCCGGACCCAAACATGAACCTTGCGGCACACAGTGGGCAACCATCCGGAAAAATCAGCTAAAATCGATCTTGGAATTTTAGCCTGAATACCAGGTTTTAATAAAGTTTGTCCTTAATGACACATAGTGGGGGTCTTTATTTGGATTGAAAACTCGGTCTAGCTTTCCAGTGCCACCACGATTCTTACACTCATATGTGTTTCAAGAGATAAAACATTCAAATGATGAGCGTATTTAATTTCAAGGAAACCAAGAATTGATGTTGTTATTATTCGATTATAAACAGGTCACCTCCAGGTTGCTGCAAGATGCAAGCGAGTTTCTTTCTGTTCTCTACGATTTGCAATTTTTGAATTTTTTGAATCACCATATATGTTGTGCGTACAGAGAAGTGGTATAACTACATCGCCCACGAGCGCCCATGAAATTTACCCATTCATTTATCACCATTGTACGCGGGAGAGGATTAGTAATGCACAGTTTTTGCCCAAACTTGCCCAACGAATATATAAGAGAATTGTAGGCCACTCAAGACCTCCCTTCTTCTCTCGCATGTTCGATGCACGATAAATATGTGTGATGAGCGGAATAACGAGAAAGAATCTAAATGTTGATTTAATCTAATTATTTTAGGGATTTTCAATCTTGCTGAGGTGATTCATGATGATTTCAGAATTCTTCGACTATTATAATATTTATTACTTTAAAAAAAATAACACATTTTTTAATACTACAAAATAACTGTATAATATTAATAGTACAAAATAATGTTAATAATACAAAATAATACGATTTTTGGACTTTTGGTAGGATTCCATATCAGTAGAATGTTTCGAATAATGATTAATTTAAGTTTGAAACATGGTGTGCATTTAACTTCTTTAGAATATAGTGCTAGTAGGACAGTATGTAATGCACTCCCTTATGATACTATATGAAAATCCTTGCGTTGACTTTGCGTACTTTGTTTGCATTTGGAAGAATTAAACTTACATATAAAAGAGTATACATAAGAAATATATACAAATGAAATATATTTACAAAGTATTTTTCACTCGAAGCTAAGATGGACTCAACAATGGCATCCTCTTCCGTTAATACAGGTGTTCTTGGTCTTATTTGTCGGCTAAGCTTCGCCGTACAATTTCGTCAACCATCGGATCAGATCGTTCAAATAATCGATTGAATGTATCCGTCGAATTTACAACATGTCCACATTTTCGACTTAAAAACTCTCTGTAATATCTCACGTCTTTGTTGCAGGATTCCAGCGCTTCTTCCGAAAGCTGTCCAATACTAATACCATCATTTCTAACGATGAGTTCTGTTGAATGGAAAATGAGACTGTGAGAAGTTAGATTGTGCTCGACCCATGGCAGTTCAATTGCAATTAGTTTTGCAAAATCAACACATTTTTGTCGGAATTTTTCTGTGTTAATAGTAGATGTTGACGACACGACACGTAAAATGATGGATAATTGATGAAGAAGTTTCTTTAAAACAGCTCGATATTGTTTTGGTGCACATTCAACAACAGACAATCGATTTTTTTCGGAAAAAAATTGTCTTCCTTGTTCGCCGGTACTTGAAGTGCCTTGTTTTGAGCCAGGACTATTAGTTTGATCTAGTCGAAGGCCGGTTTTTTCTTCTAGTCGCCGAAGAATGTCCTCACGTGCTTTTTCAATTTTTGTTTTTGTGTTGTCTTTTCCAGTTTCTGTCCATTTTAGAACATTGGCGTGGAAGTGATACATTATTTTTAATATTCAATTCGTTAGATTTATATATTGGTGGGTGATTGTAATGTAGTGATGATCATCTTGACTAAATGGCTTAGAAGTTAAATCTTTCCGAGTTGCATAATCATTTCTTCGACGTTTAACGTCGCCATATTCGTCTAGCATTTCTTTGTAGAGCTCGATAGTATCTGAGGCTGTTCGTTCAATAGGAAATCCGGATTCTATCTTGTGAATATCTTTCCATTCAGAAGGTGTTGAATAACATAACAAACAATGAGCCCATGAAGTCCAAATTCCAGTTGTCGAATTTTGAAGTCCTTCATACTACGGCGGATTTCAACAAGAACATTGTATTTCACACCATCATACTCAAACTGAATTCCATCTTTCTGTAGTTGATTTTCTTCTGGCTCCAGCTTCATTTTTCCATATAACGTTGTCGGTCAGCGTCGAGGTCAGGCTTAAAAGTGTAAACAATTTCGAAAAAATATTTGATTCTCTCTGTAGATTTTTGGGGCTGTGATAGATTGACATTGTTCCAGCTCCGTCATGCCCAGTTTTTTCTTTGTATAATAATGTTTGTGGAATTTGTTTTTCTTGACCTTTGGCAACATCAATAAGACGCTGAACTGTTCTAATAATTATATCACGTCTGGATTTTATCGTTATTCCACGGCAATCTCGGCACTCAGTTACATTAGGTCTCAAGCATTTTTTGGCGTGGAGAATATCGGTGGTATTGGACACGTGAACTTTGTCGTCCAAAATGGCTTTCAAAAATCGTAAATCATGTTTACTCAAATCCAAATAACTTTGTATGGCAATTGTTTCATCAACTGACAATTTCACTGTAGCTGTAAAATCGCCACTTGCTTCCATAGTTTGTCCTACTGCTGCAAGCATACGGTTTGAGTGATAATTTACTGTGTAAAGTAAATAACCAATAAGTTAATTCATGGAGAGATTATTGTTCGCAGCAGCGCTCTGAAGTGTTTCTGTGATATTCTTCGTCCGATATCGTTTTTGCTCGAGTGTTAATTCTGAAAATTTTGTCGTGCTTTCAAGATATTGAGTAGGCCCTAACTCATTATCATCATCGTCATCTGTTGGAATATTTTCGTTTTGATTATCTGTCGCCAATTGAAGGAAAAGTGATTCTACAGGAATTTCTTCTGCATACCAAGAAGTTGATCGATGATGTTGTTGCCAATCTCTTAATCTTAACTTTCGTTTGACAACATGAATTCGAAAAGTTCTTCCGCTGTTTCAATTGATTTCTCGTCGTTTTCTAAGTTTAATAATTCTAATAAACGGAGAGTTGCTGTAGCCAGATCTTTATTAGAATCTAGATATTGCTGACACAAGTCAGCTTTTGTCACAATTTGCTTAAACATTGCTGACACTGAGATATAAACACCAATCAAAAATTTCATGGGATACACTGCAGTCACAACCGTATTTATACCCAACGGTTACCTACAAGATCCTTCTAGAATCTACTAGATTGCTGTAGGCGCTTCTAGAAGCTATGAGGTCGTTCCAGAACCTTCTAGAAATTTTCAATAGCCATTGTCCTGAACATTTTACTCGTATAAATCTTATCAATAATCCAAAAATCAGCTTAAAAGTTGAAAATACCTGGCTTTTTCGTGATTTAATACATATTATTGTGATCAAAGAAGTTTCAAACCATAACTTAGTCAAATATCTAACTTTAGTGTTATGATCTGCCTTCCCCGACAGCTCATAAGGTTCATTCTCTCTCCATTCTGCTCTTGTACCATTCTTGCGCAACTCTTGTTTCATTTTTTCGTTTCCTTCTGCAGTGTATTTTCCCAACTCTTTCTGTTCTTGCGCAACACTTTCGTCAGTCTGTGATCTTCCTAACTATTTCTGTTGTTATGTAATTCATGAGCAACTCTTGTTTAACTTTGTACTATATATAGCTGTTCATTTGCTTCAAATAAATATATCGGAGTGAGAGTTGATTCTCACTATAGCTTCACTACTACGATTAGAGTTAGCCACTAGAGGATCTATATCCTCACACAAAATACGGCGTAGAATTCTATGAGTGGGATATGATTCTGTAAATAACGGACTTTGGGTTAGTACTGCTCGACGTGGTACACGTAAAACAAGAAATGAAGTATTTTATGATTGTACTTATTACTAAACATACAATATACTTACTTAACGAGGAATCATTTCTAAGAAATGTTACTGATTGCGGATGACAGGTAATAAGGCTTGAAGCATCCTGAGATTGAATGTTGAACGGTATTACATTTGAAGAATTAGTTGAAATATTAAGTGTAACTATCGAATTTGTAAGGTTTGCTGCGGATATAGGGACAGTAATCGAAGAACTGCAACTCGAAGGTTTTTTTCTCTACTTGACAATGGAACATTGGTTAACCTACAGAAAAGAGGAAAAAAGAATAATTTTAAATATTTCTAATGCAAAGAACAAAGTATCAAAAACGTGTCTGAATTAACGTAAATATTAGATGATTCGAAAAATAGAAAATTTTCAATACATAATCATGTGGGCTGAGTATTATTAGTATGTAGAATAAACATTAAATAATATAAAAAATCCATTTTGATTCTATGGTGTTATACGTATTATAAAATATGTAAAACTTATCATTTTACAGATTATTTTATGCTCAAAATATAATACTAACCTAAAATAGTAAATGAATACATATTCATTTTATTTTAATCTTCTTAAATAATAATTTACTTATATTAAGGTAAAAAAGCATCCGAAAAAAATGATTAATATGTGACAAATGTTATTCAGGCTACATTTTGAATGATATATAAATCCACATTTTTCAATTTATATCTTTCCATCGATTAAACAGAATTTTTTTTTGGATAAATGCACACTTTTAGCATGAAATTGTGTTTCGAACAACAAATACAATCATAAATGTGCGATCTCGTGTTTTAGAAAAAATATAGATTAACTATTATTTATATATTTCTAATAAAAATGATACTTAATATAAGTATTACAAATAAGAAAGATTATGTTAACTGTTATATAGTAGTTATATTTTAAAAAAAAGTTATTGAACAGGAAAATATGTTATATTTTATATTTGCAGGCGTCAATATGATACGTCAAATTATACCATTGTTTCGAAGTGTTTATGAATAATAATCCTCAAAGCAATGTTATCTCGTTCTTTAAAAGTTAACATGGATATTATACGTAAAACTACTTAACATAATGATGTTTGTGCCTATTTGATGAGGTCAAATTTAGTATGCATATTGTTTATTATATTTTATTTAGCATGCAGATATTATAGATAATAAAACTGTTTTCAGGAGAAAGAGGTAATATATGTACAATTGTTTATGCTTTAAGAAGATTTATTTCTTGTCCAATAAATCCTTTCTCAAGAGGAATATTTTTTAATTCATGAAAAGAGATACCTTGAAAAATATGGGTATGTATTTCGCATGACAATATGTATTGCATCTGTTTTGAGAAGCTTCCATTATTTCGCTTCATCTATTACATATTTGAGAATCAATAAACGAGATAGAAAGAGGAATCAGGTGACATCATAAGATTTAACGCTATACTTATGGTCATATATGTAATTCAAAATCAGAAACAATGGAAAGAAAGATAATTGATACTGATAATGTTTCCCTTTTCTTTACGGAATAATACGTACATGCTAGCATGTATTAAACACAGACGTATGACTGTGTATTTATGTATGTATTATAATGCAATATAACAGCAAGAAAGTTGTATATTACAAAAACAATTTCTTACGTCTCTTCAATTTCCTGAGCATGTTGAATTATGTGATATGTGCAGTACTTTAGGCCACAATGATAACAACAAAATGGCAGTGCTTCATTCACACAAGGCGTACCAGAATATTCACAGTACATTATTATGGATCTTCAATAATTACAAGTATATAACAATTGCTAGAAATGTTTCTCTGCAGTATGATAAATGAGAGTATTGTCTATATGAGCTGTATATATATCGACTGTTATGTGTATACTGCTAATTATCAGTAATAATTAGAGAATTATTTTTTCCTTTTGTATCATGAGTCAATCATTATTCATTATATAACGGTCAAAAAATCATATGAGATATATAAGAATTCTCTTGTATAACTGTTTGCGTCCTGCGTCCTTTATTCTGATACGTACTTCCGGTATTCAATTATACATAAGGACACAGAACGCAATGACACTTATAAAAGAAATCTCTAATTGGCGCCTGACTCATACATACTGAGTCATATATGATATTAATATCATAGATAAATAAAACAGATGACATTAAATGATATACTCAATATATATGATGAGTAATTTAATTTCGTATTGATTTAGTGTGAAAAACTTTTGAGTATGGCGTGTAAGCGTTTAATGTACAATCATCGTAAACGAAAAATGACACTTGAGTGTGAATATTTGGAAAAAATGAGTGATATAAAGCATAAACAGGTGTGTTTTATATAACAAATAGATAACTGAACAATAAATCTAAACATTATATTAACATAGTTCAAGTTGATCTGAAAAAGTCTTATTCATAAATACGTTTTTAGGAAATAAGGTTAAATCTGTTACTCAAATTTAAGGTACTTTTTCATGATTTGAATGCTTACTTTAAAAAATTATTAATCTATCTAGAATAGTGAAACGGTTATAAGTAGTTCATATCAAACGTATGATACGTTCAATAATGAAACTATTTTAACCGCAAACACTCTGGTCAATACATTAGAAGATATACCTTCTAATGGAGAACTTATTCAGACAATGTTAAGCACAAACGATGAAGATAAACAATACATTGAGGATGTATATGATCATGATAATAGAGCTATAGTAAAAGGTACAATATACAATTTAAAAATTATTGGCCCATGAATTTACTTCGTGTTTTGTATTAGATACAATAGGACTTAGCATAACAATGGCCTTATTGAAAAGTCATCATAAATGGACATGGAAAGGTGTTGAAGATATTATTCGATTAAATAAACTTATAAACTTAGACTGCCCCCTTCAATCAAGATATAAAATAGAAAAACATCTGGATAGTGTTGTAAATACCAATGTAAGTTATGAAACATTTTATATATGCGATCTCTGCGTTGATAATATTTCACCAGCCGGATGTCAAATTTGTAAGATGACAAAAATGAAAAAAAAAACTAAAATACTACGTTTTGTCACACTGAATATAGAAGATCAATTAAAGTTATTATTCTCGAGACCCAATTTTTATAATAGTTTACATGTAGTATCTTTTACAAATGCAGGTATTAATAAAAGAATGACTTGGACTAATACAGGACACATCTTTAACACACAACTTATTACAGGATTCATCTCTGATATAATGGATGGTACACTTCGGGCAAAAGTAATAGAAGAAACTGTTAACATGGGCAATGATATTATATTAACTACTCAATTCCATTGCGATGGTGATAGTAGTATATTTAAATGATATTTTGAACAATTCTTTTATTTTTCTGTTCACTTTAGGTGTAAGATTGTTTGAATCAAGAGAAAATTCCTTTGTTCCTATGTATCTAGCCATCAATGAGTTACCACTGAAAGAACGCTTTCAACCTCATAATATTATCCTTATTGGAGTATGGGCCAATGAGGTCCATATAAATCGTCATTTACTACAGAAAGTAATGGAAATTATTTGTGTTCAATTATTAACTGTAGAAAACGGTATTAATGTATACGTCAAAGATTTGGATATAATTCGTAATATAGCTGTATACAATATTATTACCGTTACTGATAAAGTTATGAAGAATAAATGTATGAATATGGTTCAGCATAATGGTGCGTACGGTTGTGCATACTGTTTGAACCCTGGAAAACATTTTAAAACAGTAAAAGGTGGACGTATAAGGTCATTCCCACGGCCACATGATTATAATTATCGTCTTCGCTCCATAACAACTTATAATTCTGCCATGGCACAACTGCAACAAGGTATTAAATTGTATCAAGGGCATTATGGTCCATGCGTTCTTCAATCACTAAAATTTCATCATTTTCCTAATTCATTTATTGTTGAATCAATGCATACTATTTATCTGGGTAAGAATTGTATACCATTAGTTTTATTTTCTATTACTTTATGAGTTATTTTAAATTAATTATTATCTTAATCTTAGGTGTTACCAAGCAGTGCATATCGTTATGGATTGAAACCTCACACGCGAAAGAACGTTGGTCTTTCCATAAAAGAAAAGAACAGTTTCAGGCCGCATTCGCTAATATTCATTTACCAACCTCGGTATATAAACCATGTAGACCATTTTGTGACGGTATACAATATACTACAATTTTTTTTCGCATCTTAATTATTATACTGCAAAAAATATATTCTTATATCCATTTAGGTATTAAGCACAAAGCTAATGAGTTACGTACATTCCTTCTGGCATATTTCCCGATTTTGGAATTCTTTTTGGAAGACATATACTTTCATCATTTTTTACTGTTGGTCAACGCAATTTATATGCTATCTGACGTACAATATTTAACAACAGTGACAGTTTAACAATGTCATAAAATGCTCTAAAATTTTGTTTCAGATTATGGAATACTTTATAGTGAACATCACGTCAAACCAGTGGTTGAAGATATTGCTCATATTGGGCCACAATGCTTTATGTTTGGCCAATTGTCAACTACGATGCATTTGGATTCGAATCATTGAATGGATTTTTCCATGATTTGATAAATGGAAATAGGAATATGTATGTATATGAATTGCAACTCCATTATTTAGAAATACACTTTATAGAACTAAATAGTAAATAGAATTTCATTATAAAAATTTGTTAGATGTAAGCATGAAATCGTGTACCTGTTTATGTTTTATTTAGTGACAAAGAAATAGCTAATGCTTGGGGATTTTACATAAAAGCAGTTACTGCACATTCAATATATTCATATAAATCGAATGACATAAATGTATTCGCAGAAAAACTTGTTTACGGGTACGTTATAAAAATTATCAACTGAAAATGAATAATAAGAAATAATTTGAATACAATATATGATTACAACAGTTTTTCTTGTATTACTAGGCACACAATTTCAACATTTCATGCAAAGCAGAATATGTTTAACGTTATGTTTAGTTGCCTATATCCTATGGATAGACTTGGTAATTCAAAAACAATTGATCAAATAAATATATTCGATAAGAACGCAAAATATGTTAAACATTGTTATTACAAGTGTAATCAATTACTAAGAAGTGAATTAACAGCAAAAAGGCATAAACTATACACGGACACCGTTGTACACGTACATCACAATAATGCTAAACAAGTTTTTCATATTAAACTCATATTTTTATCAAATTATTGCTGGTTTATATTAGGCACCATGATGAACGAAATTATACTTCCTGAACATTATAAACACATTAAAAATATTGTTGCCTTCGGTAAATTCGCTGACATACCGGAAATTATTGAAATGAACAGTGTTATCGAAAGACTAACTTTGTTTGAAAATAACGAATATAAACTAATTATAAGATTACCGTTTTCTGGAAATTATTCATAATAAATTTAATTAATATAATTTGCGCCTTAACGTTAGCTTACAATTAATGAATACCCAGTAATATTAGTCCTGGGTTTAATAAAAAATAAAATAGTACAGCTAGTCCACGTAATGGTAGACTTTTATGTCAAAGTTAAGGTGCAAATGCGGCTAAAACTACTACGACTATGTTGTAGAGGATAGTCAATAATGTATAAAAGTGCATTCTTTTATCTTCGTTTTGCGTTCATTTTTTAGAGAAAAAGGCTTCTAAACAGATGGCGCCTTGAACCATAAAA